TAGTTTTTCTTTATTGCAGTCCTGGTGCTATGCCTGCCCAACGTCTACAAACATCTGGACCTTACACACTAGCATCATCAGCTCCATTCCGGCTGGACTGGGTTTGGGGTGTTCTCGTTTAGGTAGCCTTGAATTCTCCAGAGTGCAACTGGATGTCTTTTCAGCCCACTTCTTGAGGAGGTCTGTCTGGAGCCGAACAGGGCTGACACGCCCAATACTGACTGATTGGCTGGCTCAAAGCACACCTATCATTAGGGAGAGCCTCCGATTGGCAGATAGAATCAGCCCGCGGGGGCTTCACACACACACACACACACACACACACACACACACACACACACACACACACACACACACACACACACACACACACACACACACACACACACACACACACACACACACACACAGTACTGCCAGACACAGCAAAGCAGGATCCAATATCAGGGCCAAAAGGTCACCAAAAGCAAGACCGCTCAGGCTGTTTTTGTTTAATAATGGAGACACCACGGACTTCTCCGCACTCTTTTGCCCCGCGCACGTGCTCAGAGATGCACTCGGAGATGCACTCATGACATCACAGACCGCCCATGTGCTCAATCATGTCTGCATTTCTAATGCAGTGTGGAATGAATATGGCGGGGCCGGGGCAGGCAGAGCGGAGTGACGTGCAGCCGATGCTAGTGTGTCAGTGGCTATAGAGCGCTGTGATTGGCCTGACCTGAAATTGTTTGGGCCAATGGTAGACCTGCTGAGGCTACAAAAGAGCATGGCTAAACCAACCTGCAGAGCAAAATGTTTTGCTACTGCTGCGGTTTATCTAGACTTCTAGGTTAGTAAAAGATGGTTTTGAATGTGAAATCAACTGAAAATGACTGGAAAGTTTGATTGTAATAAAAAAACTTTTTAATGTTACAGTAGTTCTTAAGCTTTAGTTTTTATGCATTTTTATGCTGTGTATTGTTTTTAATGTTTTTAATTTCTGTGAAGCCCTTTGGTCAGTTTTATACTGTTGTAAGGTGCTATACTACTAAAGCTGCCTTGCCTTACTTTACTCAAATCTATTTGACTAAAATATTACTATTTAATTAGCTTAAGGGTCCTTGCAAAACAGTCAATGTCGCATGGACGTGCAGATCATGTCGGTGCAGACTGTAGGACGTCCAAACTAGGTTTTTGCACCCTTATTTTGTAAAATACTAAGTAAGTGATCGTAGCTTGAATAATTTACATACACAGAAGCGACTGTACAAATATATTTCAGTAATGCTGTTGAACAGTTGTTGACACATTCACATACATGATTCAAACAGACTTGAGTCTGAGCTGCTGTTTGTTTTCTGTGTTTACAGTAAATCTTCTTCTGGATCATTTTGATATTACAACCCAAGACTCTGATAACCCAACTCACATTGAACCAAAAGGGGGGTGAATCTTCCGTCTCCTGTCCCATAGTTCTCTGTTTCAGGTTACACAAGTTTGTTTGTGTTTGTGTGTGCATGGTTGTCCTTCCTGTCTATACATGACGTGCAGACTTGGGGTGACTTGAGATGGTCAAGCTGTGTGTTCCTGGAGTCTTATAACGGTTGAGTCCTAACAGTAAAAGGGAGTATTCCACAAACTGTTGTGTTTATCCAAATTCCATTTTTTTTTGTATCTACTAATTTATAATTCCTTATGGGGTATATTCACATATAGGTTTGATTACTAACATCACTAATTAACATTTTAGTGTTTCTTCTTTATATTACTGGTAATTATATTATTTCTTTTAAAGATATTCACAGATATGCATTTCTGCATTATTTCATTGCAACTGATTTATTTTCGTCATTTCTATTTTAATCAATTTTATTTAGAGTTTTACCAATTATGGGCTACAGATAATTTTACCCTTCTGTTTTAATAACATTTTTGCTAAAAAGAGTTGATTTTCCCTTACATATATTATAGGGTTATGTTGATTTAGTTCTTTTTGCAACACTTTTCTAGTACATGTAGTTTACTGCATTTCGTTTCCTTCACCTGAACTCCGTTCACATAATTTGCTCATGGTCTCTGTGTCACAAGACACACTGAGGCTGTGAGCTCTAAACTGGGTGGCTATGTAAAAACAAAGAAGCAGCACATTTATAAATGTTTAAAAGAGTATAAAATCACGTGTAACAATAATCTGTAAAACAAATTAAAACTAGAAGGTGATAAAAAATGTTTACATAGAAGATTATTAAAAATAATTCTCCTTTGCTACGCCGGTAAAGCTTCACATCAGCCTGGACAAGTGCATTCTTGCAGCTAATCAGTCTGACAGCCAATGCCTTGGGTAGATTCAGCCTGAAAAAAATAGAAGCACATTGTTGTTGGAGTTTATAAAGTCAGATAATATATAAAAGAAACTGTCCTATATAGGCGCTTTATAACATTCCTAGTGTGTGATCGTTATTATAACGTAAAAGTCAGTCACACATGATGTGGAGAGCCTGAAATGCGACCTCCTGAACAGAATTCCTCACAGAACCGGGTCACGCTGTAAAGCTGTCTGTCAACTAGTGCTGCGTTAGTTAGAGCCACTGTTGCAGAATTACCGACTGACACAAAAACAACCCGAATTTTCTCCGAGCCAGACAGTACTAGTCGTGGACCGCTTCGTCAGCCAGAGCTTCGAGATGTTCAGATTCGCCGCTGATTCTGAACTTACATCCCATTCCACATTTTGTAGACTTGACAAATTAACTAAATGAAATGAACCACGTCTCTCAAACTTTGCATTTAGGTACGGAATTGTCTTTAGAAGATGTTAAAACTTTTATTTAGCTTACTCACCTCAGACTGGAGCCCGCCATGGTGGGGAGCAGAGTCGGTGGGCTGCATCTAAATTGCGGAAGAGCCACGGTGGGCACGGCCTCCCTCTTCAAACGGAGATGTGCAGAATAACCCAGTTCAAACTCCATCATGTTGGCAAAGGAATCGCGGGTAAAATGCTGGTTGCAAACTACAGCACCAGACGGGAGCTGGCTGTTTTCCAGTACACCGATTGCGCGCAATCGCTGGCACCTAATTTCTAACCCCACAGAGTCACCGAACCCACTACGCTACACCTTCTCACCATGCTAACACGATATGGAGCACTAAACCCGAACTACTTTCCTAATAACACTAACAGCCAAACACTGACTAAACTACAATATCCAACAGCCAAGCTAACACTAAATTTGTATAACACTAAAAGCTATGCTAAAGACTAGGATATGCTAATGCTATATGCTAATGCTGAACTACGGCTAACCGTCCTACACTCACTTGCAAATCCAACTCCCAACTCGCCACAAGGCGTGGCCGAGACTCTCGATGCTTTTACAACGTTCACACAGAGCTGCTACGTAGTACTCTACTGGTTTACGTAGCGTCTTTCTCTTTAGCCATTGGCTAAAGTGTATTCAAAATGATTCAAACTCTATGTTTTAAGCTGAAGGTGGCGCTATTTAGACAGAATTTTTAATTTTTAAAGGAAATGCACCAAAATGCTAAAATAATGAATACACACATTTAAAACACTATTAGACACTCATTTATACAGTTCATCAGCAAAAAAACAATTTTAATTTAGACGTTACTTGCTCTTTAAGAGTCCCAGATGCTCGGTTCAATCCAACTGTCGAACCCGAAGATGACTCTGGACTGACCTAGTCGTACTGGAAGTTAGTCTACGGAGTTCGGGAACGGAGGGCTCCCCCCCGACATCTCGGATCCAAAAGAGCGTCTCCACTTGGGTACGTAGAACGCAGTGAGATTGCGTCTGGATGTGGTTTTTGATAATGATCAACCTCATATCTTAACTTAAACCCAATTCTTTTACATCCAGAACTCAGCTCTCCAAGATACGGAAGTTCTGATCAGCATTATATTTACACATAGGTTCCAGACATCACCTTTTAGTTCTATCCACTCACAGTAAATAATAGTTTAACCAATTTGTCAAGTTTTAATTGTTTGTAAAATAAATTCTTACTTTTATAAACCTGACTCTTTTCTGAACCAAAACAATGTGTGTCTAATTACTTAATAAAGCAAGAATCCTAGAATCTTTCTGATTAAACAATAAAAGACCAGGCAAGGTGATGCTCTATATTTAGATTGAGTATCACAGCTTAATGTTCACAAGTAGAGTTAATATCGATACTAAGCTAACTACCCAGTTTATCTAACCCTACAGTGTAATAACTTAAATGAATAAACAACTCTGTTCCAGGTCCTAATCTGGCAGCGTCGCCCTGCACTTTCCCTGCTAAAATCAACTTCCATGACCTTTTTTTGTGCTCAGACCACAAAGTTCAAGCAACACAAAATCACAAAGTTTCAGGAAAGCTGATTTTTCTTCCAAGGAATACCACCGGTCCCATAAAGCTTCGCAGTGACCAAGCAGCTCTAATTGTAGCCTAAGATTACCACAGCACCTCCCAGTCTGAACTTCCTGGCTGGCCGCCATCTTGTTTCTCAAAGGTAGTAAATCCTCTCCATAATTTGTGCTCCCAGACAGCGGACTTCATCGTTGAAAGGTCTTAGATGGATTTGAAGTGGGACAATAAAAGGCTTTTATTTTGTAATTTTGAGAGACTGAATGCGTGGAACTAGTGTATTTCAGGTCACTGAGCTGCATCAGTCCGAAAAGAGTTGAGTTTTTATAAAAGGAGGAAATATTTGAATACAAATTAGATTTTTGGGGTGTGTAGTGTTGTATATACTGCTGCTGTCATCGCGACATTAGAGAACTTAGTTAAATATTGTTGTGGTGTCACAATCTCTTTGGGATTATGTGTAAAGCCGCTGCATCCCAAAAACACACATTGTAAATATTGTTGTTGTCTGATGTCAGTTGCACCAGATCTAAACAAGATAGAGACGTTGTAATTGTGTCGTATTTGTTTTAAATCACAGTTGCATGTCACATGATAAACCCCTCCCTTAGCATTGCAGGAGGCTTTCCAGGATTTACAAGCGCAATGAGTCACAACAAGAATTTAAAAAGAGCGTCCTCAATAACCAGAGCTTCCACTCTCAGGTTCCTTGCAGGTCACTGCAATTTAATCTGCACATCATGCTGCTCCCTTTCTGTGTCCTGGTCTTCCTCAGGCTTGATCCAAGTCTCACGGCACCTGCGTTTAGTCCAGAGGAAGAGCTGGGTCTGGCTCCAGCAGAACCACAGGCTGACCTGAAACTGGCCACAGTAAGTACATCACTGCGTTATCTGGTGATCCAGGAGAAAGTGGATTTAATATTGAAAGGACTCACACTTGGCTGTGTGGATGTTGAAAATGAATTGATTGCATTATTTGTGTGAGATAGAGGTGAATAGACGCTCAGCTAGCTGAGTGTATTCATTCAAATTTCAACAAATGATTCAAGCATCCACATTTACCCCTTTCCTCGTGTCTATTCCCTGAATGTTTTTTTTTCTTTAGAGTTACTTCCTTACTTTGTTTCAGTGAGTCATGTTTTTATTGACCATGATAACCTGACACAAATTTAGACATTTATAGAAAAACGTCTGATGTCTTGTTGCTGATTAGTGAATGATTTCTAAAGGATTCTTGAATGTGCACCATGGTGAGGAGGAGACTTTTGCCTTAAACAAACCACAGAGGACACACACTATCAGATTTATGCACTGTCCATTTTTTTGTTCAGATGTAAAAAATATTACGTGTCTTCATCAGCTGGCTGATATGGATAAAAAAACAGCTGATGAAGACACCTGGTGAAACACCTGAGGAGGACTGCAGTTAACACTCAAAACACATCCAGGTAAACAATCCTTTATTTGTTACATCTGAACAAAAGAACTTGACAAACAAATGACTGAAAAAAGACATACTGGTTCCACATTTGAATGTTTACCTGACGTTTTTGTGAAATTGGAATCTGACAGGAGTACCTTCATCGGTTCTACAAGCTGCAGAAGGATCCTTCAGGACGAATGAGGAGGAGCGGGCCCTCGTTCACCTCCAAAGTGAAAGACATGCAGACCTTCTTTGGGCTTAATTCTACAGGGGAGTTAGACTCCGGTACCCTGGAGGTGATGAGGAGCCCTCGATGTGGGGTTCCTGACGTGGAAGAGTACAGTCACATCCACGGGACACGCTGGAATAAGAACGTCATCGCATACAGGTAGGGGATTCGTTTCACTTAAAAATTGTAGAAAAGTTTGTACTAAAAGATGTTTTTTGATTGATGAATGGATTATTCTGGATCCAGTAAGATAAACCACACCAGAAGGCTGTAAAACCTTTGGCATAAATAAGCAGCTGCTATAAATAAATGTGGAGAACTGATCTTCCATCACTCAGAAGTTTTGTAGGTTTTTTTAAAAGCTCCAACATGACTGAACCTATACAGCACTGACCTTCAGTGTACGCTGTGTTTAAGAGAATCTTGCTTAATTACATACAGAATCAGAAGTTACTATTGTTTTAAAACTGTAACATTGAATATCCTGAAGTTTGTGTGTTGTTGTGTGTTTTCTGTTGCAGCATTGGCCGATACACCAGAGATCTGCCCAGCAGCACTGTGGACTTTTTAATTGAGTCAGCCTTTGGTGTTTGGGCCAAAGCCAGCGGCTTGACGTTTGTTAGGTCACACACACACAACACTGACATCATGGTGGAGTTTGTGACCTATGGTAGGTTTATCTGTTTAGCTCACTCTCACAAAATCACAGAAAACCACCCCCCAGCAGAGGTCTTATGTAAATGTACAGCTTTGTGGCTTTAGACCTAGGGAGTCACAGTAGTAATTTCCCTCTTATCCGAGGCAGAGTCATCTTTCACCAGCTGCTGTCTAACTCCGATGAGGTGAACTGAAGCTTGTAATTTTCCATTAGCATGAAAGAAGATGATTTTTTTCTGTGGTTTCTGTTTCATGTTTGGTCTGGGTTTGTCACGAAGCACATGGTGACTTCTACCCATTCGACGGCCCCAGAGGCACACTGGCTCATGCCTTTGGTCCGGGGTCTGGCGCTGGAGGGGACACACACTTTGATGATGATGAGCATTGGACTGCAGGAGGAGCAGCAGGTGCTGAGCTGAAACACACCAGAGGATGCTGCACAGATCACATAAATGCATGATACCATGAATGTTATTTTACTTCCTCTTTGTGCTCCTGCAGGTTTTAACCTGTTTGTGGTAGCAGCTCATGAATTTGGCCACGCTTTGGGTCTCAAGCACTCAAGAAATCCAGAATCTCTGATGTACCCAACCTACAAAATCTCCCGTACTTCAAACCTGCTGTCTAGAGAAGATGTGCACAGCATCAACGCGCTTTACAGTAAACAGCTTTACAGTAAACAGCTTTACAGTAAACAGCTTTACAGTAAACAGCTTTACAGTAAACAGCTTTACGAACATCTGCAGGCAGAAATCATAAACTAGTTATTGTACTCTAAAGCCCGGTTCACATGGCAGAATAATAGCAAACATCTTTGACCCAGTCCTCCAAACAACGTTAAGGATGCAACGATCACCAGAATGGCGCCAAAGATAATCTTATCAGATAATGGTACCGTGTGTGGTGTATTTATGAGTGTGCTGGTCTGCTCGGCTTTCAAACATCTTGGATTGTCTTGATCCAGTTTTTGAAGTTCAACCACTCAGAGATCAGGGTGACAGAAACGTGCTGAACACTCCTCCTCCACCCTGTTTGATCTTGTGAGATTTCTCGTCTGATCGGATAATGTTTTTGTCGTGTTGCTGCACACCGCACACTGCAGGACCAAAACTGTTATCTCCCACATTTTTTAATGACCAGTGTGAGGTCTCAAGTTTTTTAACCCTCCCGCATTGTTAATAGGGTCAGATGGACCTCTGGTGTATTATTATTTTTTATTTAATTTTTTTAAGGGGTGCATCACATCACCCCTGCCAAGGCATAAACTTTAAACTCTGTTTAGCCACCCCCTGTCCTGGCGAGGTCACCTGATAGGAAAGTGGAAGGGTTAAAGTTAGCCAACAATTTAAAAGTCCTGTTGTGCGAGCCAGGCTTAAGTGGACTCTGATTAATAGTTGTCCTGATGTGTACCAGGTCCTCTCAGAACCCACACAAATTATGCATTGAGAAACTTTCCTTGGCTGTCCAGACCTCAGTTCCCACATCTCATGCAAGACAAGTGTGCACCAGACCTGACGTTTGATGCAGTAACATTCCTCGGTGATGCTACCATCTTTGTCAGAGACAGGCATGTTTAGAACTTTTATCAACATTATTTCATAAACAAATATTTTAGAATACCTCTCTTGAATCTACTTTCTCACTGATGGTATGGCACATCATATTTAAATCTCATTTTATCACCTTACAAGATATCTTTGGATGAAGCATAAAGAGCTACCTGACATCAAAGAAGGTCCCATCACCAACTTCTTGCCTAAAATTGAGACCGGTATTGATGCTGCCTTCTGGATTCCTCGCAGATCAACAGCTTATCTAATTCATGGTAACCATCTGCTATCACTTTAACCTGCATTATGTTTTAACATCTCACTGGGTTTGAACAAGTCTCATGATTGAAACATCTCTGAGTGAGATGCCAGCAACAGTGCAAGTAAGAAATGATCATTTCCCCCTCCCCACCTGTTTCTGCAGTTAGGTTCAGTTATGACTGAAATGGGGTAATTCCTTTCAGTAGAGCATTTCCATTATGTTCAATACAGCATGTTTTTTTTTTTATCAGCAGCAGAATGTATAGTTAGTGGAGCAGACACAAGGATGCACCATGGAAGTTGAACTCAAAAAAACAAAGTGCCCTCTAAGGGCTGGCTGCAGTAATTGGTTTAAGCCCCACCCCCTCTATGTAACCAAATGGAAATTTTTACTTTTTCTGGTGCTGCTGGAGCCTTTTGGAGGTCAATGCAGAAGCATGTATTGTTCTCAAGTTTCTGAAGTGGAAGCTCTTCCCTAATCCCAAAGCACTCACAGGCGACCCAGTCCTCCCTCCCAGCTGCTAGAACATGACATGTTACTTAAACACTTCTGCATCCAGGCTACTAATGGATACAGCTGCTGATCCCACCTTAGCTCCAACCTCTCTGCTGCTAGCTGTTAATGTCTGACATGTTCATGTTAGTAGCTGATAACAAACACAATCAGTTTCATCAATGTGTGAATTATATAAAAGTAAATAAACAGACTGACATCCAGTTTCCCCTCTCTGCATTATAACTGTGGACATCAAAATCAATATATATATATATATATATATATATATATATATATATATATATATATATATGTATATATATATATATATATATATATATATTACTTAGTTATCTTGTTGACAGACTACAGATGCAAATTAGCAACTATGCTATAATCTGGCCCATTTACGATCGATACAATGTATTTGATTGTTTATTAATTTGCATTGTCCTGAATAAAGAATTGAATTAAAAATAATTGAAATAGAAAAATATCAATCAATGCATTTCTGTTTGCAGAATCCACATTCTGGACCATAAAAGGTTCTGTTATAAAAGGGAAGCCCAGAACACTTAGCTACTTTGGATTTCCAGCATGGGTGCAAGATGTGGACGCTACAGTGCACATTGAAAAAACAGGTCGTACCCTCTTCTTTTTGCAGGACACTTACTGGAGGTAAGATGACAAATCCCCCTTTTTTCTTATGTTCACACATACAGAGAATTTATGTCAGCAAACGCTTTTAGAAGACAAACACAAGATTGTGCTGTTTTTTTTTTTTTTTTTTTTTGTCTTTTCTAGTTACAATGAAAACAGAAAAATTATGGATTTTGGTTACCCGAAGTACATCAGTGAGGACTTTCCAGGAATCAACAGCACTATAAATGCTGCTTTCTACAAAAACAGTGAGCAAATACCATTTATTATACGTTTGAATTATAATACACATGCATTTAAAATTGTGAAACCTAAGAATTTCTGTATAAGATTTAGTGTCTGTGACTCGAGGGGTTTTTGCCGTTCACTTTGTGAGCACAGGAATGTTAATTTGCATACTGCTGTATGGAGTGAGGTTTTTTTCAGATGCAGACTGTTATTTAAATGGTAAATTTGACTTTAAAGACACCTTTGTGACATTTTGTAATTTAGCTGTGAGCAGAACTTGAACTTGAGTTCAAAATACATTTGTCATGAGCAAATGCCACAGGATGTGAATTCTTAAAATATCTGTTTTTGCTTTTCTCTTTGCTGTTTTAGGTTTCATCTACTTCTTTATGGGACCACAAGTCTTAAAGTTTGACTGCACACTCAAACAAGTCGTCGGAGTGGAAATGGCTAATTCTTGGCTCGGATGTTGAGAAGAATGTGGAAACTGGGAGTTCCTGTGTATTAAAGTGAAGAATTACAAACTGATGCTTGTGCTTTTTGAATGTATGTGGATGTCTTGACTCTTGTCTGAGCAGCTGCTGTGGTTTGTGTCTCGCAAATCTGTGTTTTTAATCCCATATGCATGCGGTGTAGACAGACATACAGACAAGGCAGAGCTTAATTTAGGCTTTCATCACAAACAGCTGCAGGTTTCAACCAGACTTTGTAGAAAAAACATACCGTTCTTCAATCCACAACACTCATTTCTATACTACGAAACACACACACTGTGTTTACCATTACAGACAGAAGTCCCAGACATATGTAGATGCTTTAGTGGAGCTTGTAACCACAAAACATCCAGAAAATTACTGCAGGTAGCTGTAACTACCAGGATGGAGCTCTTTCAGGATGTGATTGCTCCACTGGCTTCTGTATATAAAATGTGATGTGGACAAGAGGAACATTTGAAACATGGAGTTGTTGCGGAATTGGACGCCCATTTTGGGAGCTCTGATGTTTGTGGGGATGTCGTGGACTCGACCTGTTGATGAAGATCAAAAAATGAGAACTGAGGATGTGGAGCTGGCTGAGGTTTGTGGGCAAATCTCTGAACTGAGGAAATTAGGATCATGCATTTTATTCAGAAATACTTTAAAAACAAACATTCTTTGGACATCTGTTGTAGCTGCGATACTCCAAATACGTCAGGTGGGTGCTTTTGAAAAGATTTAAAAAAATTAGATGAACTTTACAAAGACTAGAAATAACATTCAAAATGTAGCTGTTGGAAAGAGGAAAAAAATACTGTAAAAAAACTTTAAATTGACTTTTAATACAGGGGCTTATTTGTAAAGTACAAAGGTTTTATTTTGCTGGTCAAAAGCTGAGAAACCGTTTACTGTTGAGCAGAATTTTGAGTTATAATTAAGCGTTCACTGAAAAGGTTTGCTGATTTAAATTTAAATTTATAGATGATTTTAAAGGAAAATTTGATGTTTTTGTAATTTAAATTAAAATGGCATGAAATGTAATCCACCTTTTTCATTGTAAAGCAAAAAAAATGTTTTTATAAATTAAGTTCACACGCAGCCTGATAACTTTTCAACAAGATAATAAAAAATTGTTTGAAACAAAACAGTTTATAACCACTGTTTTTCTGCATAAAAGATCATTTATTGTGTTTCACAGCTAATCTTATTGTTGCCAAAATATTTAAAATAAAAAGCAAATTAAGGCTAAATTCACAAATTAAAGATTAATTTAAGAAATATTTCATCCAGACCTAATCTGACACAGGGGCGTGTCCAGGGAGTGGCCTGGGGTAGCACATGCCACCCTTGGAATCTGATTGGCCACCCCAGGTGCTAACACACTAATTTACCTTTAAATAGGCTTTTCATTGTCCACAAAAGGCTTGGGGGTAAAACAAAAAAAGCATAACCATTGGTGCCACCGATGAACAAAGTTGTGCCTCACCTGGGCCACCCCGTTTTAAAAGATCTGGACACGCCCCTGATCTGACACTAGACAGTTTTGGCTTGCTTTTACACCCTTTAAATGATTTTTCACCCCACCCACTTCTTATTCTCCCATCCAACCACCACCCTTCTAGCCATGGCCCTTCTTTACTCTTGTCTATTTCTGGAAATTTGTCTCATTCATAAAAACATGAAACCAACTTCTTGCCCTGCCAATATTCTCCCAACCCCTTTGCTTCTTAGGGTTTTTGCAGTGCAACCATTGCTTTTTACAGAGGTTTTTCTAACCAGAAGCTAATTAGCAAACCTAGTCCTTGGTTGGACTTTTAGAGACAATCAAATAACAGCATTTATAACATTTATCACCACACACATGCACACACACAATAATTGTAAACAAATTAGTTTACTAGTTTAGTTTGATAAGGAACATCAATGTGCACCAGTTTTTTGTCACCTCGGAGTTAAAAGTTGTAAAATGTATTAAGAGCTTTATTGCTGACGGTAGATTGTTCCAAATCTGAGGTCCTCTAAATGAGAATGAGGATTGACTACATTGTATTTTGGTGATTTGCAGTCTCCATTGGCCACCCCTCTGGTCAACAGCATGGTCATTTATCTTTATCAAGTCAAACATGAGGAAATTGGGTGGTATTTTTGACCAATCAATATCTCTAGAAGGCTACTGAAAAACACTGGTCTGAAATGGGTTTTATATTTCAGAAATATACCCAAACTGCAATGGGTGGTGTCAAAACATGAACTTGAAATGGTTATCCATCTCCTGTCTAGATTACTGTAACACACATTTCACGTTTGAACAAAAAAGCCCCTGACCGCATGGATGTAAAAAATATTTGGGGGGGGGGGGGGGGGGGGGGGGGGGGGGGGGGGGGGGCATGTCCCCTAACTTTTTCCAAAGTCAGGTTTTGACCCAAAACATTATTACGCTATATTAAATAGACACTAGTTGACCGCTTGCATTCAAACTGCGGTTTTCTCCAAAGGGTGGCTGGGCTCTCAAGCCCTTTTCAGACAGACATTCTGGAACATTTGCGGACAATTCAATCCGGTTTTTAACCGGAACTGTGTTTTCAGACACACCACTTTTGTACCGGAACTTGTCCTTTTGGCTGCGTTCACACAGCAGGGAAAATTTCCAGATGTCTGACGGCGGCGGGGGGTGGGGGGTGGGGTGGGGGGAATCGGACTTATGTTAAGAAGAAGAAGAAGAAAATATCATTTCTATAGCGCCTCTCAAGATAAAAATCACGAGGCGCTTAAGCATAATTCTGCGCACACGAAGACGCATAAGAGACCTGGATGATGAAGCTCAATGGTTAAAGGAATCACTGAAGCGGTGTGAAGCGCTCCGTCGCACGTCTAGACGGTACCGTAGGAGGCGAGCTGCCGTGGTTCGCCCTGGGTTCGCCGCATGCTACAGCAGCGGGCTATATAGGTGCGCACAGCGTCCCCCGGTCCCCTCCTCCTCCCCCTCCCTCTTGTCCGGAACTTTACCTCACCAGTCTGAAGCAGCCACCCTGTCCGTAACAAGTCCGGACCTGTTACTAGGGGCTTCGTCCGGATAAATTCCGGAACACGTTATCCGGATGTTTGTATTCAGACAGAAAGGTCTTACGGACAGATTCCGGAACATTTCCGTTTTTCATGGCCTGTCTGAAGGGGGCTTAGAGATAGGTTGAGAAGCTTGGTCATCTGGGAGGGGCTTGGGGTACACCCGCTGCTCCTCCACATTAGGAGGAGCCAGTTAAGGTGGCTCACGCATCTAGGGTGTTTCCTGGACAACTCCCTGGGGAGGTTTTCCAGGCACATCCAACAGGGTAAAGACCTAAAGGAAGACCCAGGACATGCTGGAGAGACCATGTCTCACGGCTGGCCAGGGAACACCTCAGGATTCCCCAGAGGAGCTGGCCCAAGTGGCTGGGAAGAGGGAAATCTCTGCTTAGGCTGCTGCCCCGCAACCCATCCTCGGATAAGCGGCCTAAAATTGGATGGATGGATGGATGGATGGATGGATGGATGGATGGCTTAATCAGAAAAATGTTTTATTTATTTCTTTGGAGAATGATGAGTATGATACAATAAACACAACCATCTCTAGCTAGTCTGTTGTGAGGTGTAAACATGGGTTACCGTAATGCGTTACTGCTTCTTGCGAAATACGTGGCAAGTTGCATACGTGGTATTCTCTCCACAAGGAGCAAAAGGGGCATCATTCACCAAGTAAAGAGTCATTTTAGCACTTACTGGCTCAAAAAATGATTAGAAAGTATGAGTCTTACACAGTGTACCTTTAAAGAGCAGATTTCCTTCTATGTCCCATCAGGGTTACCTCAGGAGGTTCTACAGCCTGGAAATTAAAGGTGGAGCAAGAAGAGCCAGGTCTACGTCAGTCATGGAGGAGAAGATCAGAAAAATGCAGAACTTCTTTGGTCTCAGAGAAACAGGGCACCTGGACTCTCAGACTCTGGATGTGATGAGGGAGCCTAGATGTGGTGTTCCAGATGTGGACAACTTCAGCTTTTACCCTTACAAGCCAAAATGGAAGAACACCACCATCACATACACGTGAGATCCGATATTACATCATTCTTTCCCACACCTTTGTGCCTGAAGCTTCATGGTTGTTCTTACTGGGATGCAGGGTTGCAAAATATACTCCAGACATGAGTAGAGGGGAAGTGCAAAAGTCAATCCGTTTGGCTCTGAAGATGTGGAGCGACGTAGCTCCTCTGAAATTCATCGAGATCAACCACGGCAAAGCTGATATTGTCTTGTCCTTTGCCAGCAGAGGTAAATCTCAAAGCTTTTCTGAGGAGTCGTTCATGTGCTTTGAAGGTGCTGGAATAATAAGTTCTTCCTACTGCTGTAGCTCATGGCGATTTCTTTCCCTTCGATGGGCCTGGCGGGGTGCTGGCTCACGCCTTTCAGCCTGCAGAGGGGATGGGTGGAGACGTGCACTTTGACGAGGATGAACGGTGGTCAACAGGAGGACAAGGTCACTCTACTTCAGAGAAGAATATCTACAGTTTGAGTTTGAAAAATGACTCCATGTCACTGGTTACGCTTGAAATTTTTTTTTGGCAAAAACTGGCTAAAAGCACAATTAAAATTTAGAGAAGGGCATCCAGTAGTACGGTGTTCGGTAAAACCAGAAGCTACAGGCTAATACCGATGTTTGTTGTATTTCAGGTTACAGCCTGTTTGCTGTTGCAGCTCATGAACTTGGTCACTCTCTGGGTTTGACCCATTCGACAGACCCCTCAGCTGTCATGTACCCGACCTACAGGCATCACGGCAGTTCACAGTACAACCTGTCCTCGGATGATGTCCAGGGCATCCAAACACTGTACGGTAAGGAACGATTCACTTTTAAAATGAATTCATATTCATCTAAAGGTTTGTTTTAGTTCGTTGCTCATTAAATATTATTTCTCAGGAAAACCCAACAACAAAAAAGTAGAAATTCAGCCAACTGCTCCAAAAAAATGTGACCCCATGTTTTCATTTGATGCAGCAGCAATGATCCAAAATGAGATCATTTTCTTCAAGAGCAGGTAGGATTTGCTGTAAAACACATTAGCATAGTGCTGTAGATATGTCTAACTAACCATTTCTGATTTAGACACGTGTGGATGAGAACGACAAAGTCATCTTATTGGAATCAGCTGAGAGAAGGCCACATCAGTTCATATTTTCCTGGCATTGACTCACCTGTAGATGCTGCTTATGACATCCCAGCCCAAGGCATGCTCTTCATATTCACTGGTAATGAGCACTCAGACTGTGTCAGCATGACACGGCTAGATATCCATCAAGAGGGCACAGTGTTATGCCGGTTTCCCACTGGAAGCATCAGTGGCGCGAAACGGCAGCAGAACGGTTCACTCGCGAACTTCAAAGCGGTCCTTTTCACACAGGGTGTAAAGGGTTTTCTGGAGACCCGGAATTCAGGCACACACAGGAGTTAAATATATAATAAGATATTTTATTAAAGGATTTGGGCATGAGCTGGGTCTCTGCAGCCAAGTACTGTTGGAGGGGTCAGTGTAGGGAAAATGTGGCAGAGACAGCGACAGGGGGAAACGTTGGTTTGGATTGGAGAGTTCCCAGGATGTTCCTTAGACAGAAAACTCTCCCTCCTCTTCTGTCTGTGAATATGTCTCCTCTTCTGTGACACAGACAAATATTACCCACAAATACTCGGTCTATAGGCAGGGTTCAGAAACAGGCGATGGTCGTCAACAGAGAGGCAGAAGCATACTTAACAGGAGGAGCAGACTAGGATCAGAAGCCGTGGTTCAAAACAGGGTCGGAGTCCAGAGGTCAGAAAAGTAGTCAACTCCTTTAAGGGCTAGGCAGAGACAATCCAGGAATGTGAACGTGGTATAGAGCTCCGGACCCCACGTGACTCTCAGTTAGTAGACGCCATTTTGGCAGGAAAAAAAGGTAAACAAACACGGATGTAACCATGAATGTGAACGGGATCCGCTTGGATTTTACTTCGTCGGAGTTTACTTCACACTTTAAAACCAAAGAAATCGTTTTATATAGTCAAAAATTAAATAGACTAAACATCTCCGACCACCGTGCTCCTGGGATACTTTTTAAAAACGCCAGAAGCTGTCGGAGCGGACTTTTTACCGGACCTGGCCGGGGAACCCCTTGGGATTCCCCCGGCCGGAGGAGCTGGGGAGAGGTCTGGGACTCTCGATGTTACTGCCCGCTCCGACGCCAGAAGCTGTCGGAGCGGACTTCTTACTGGACCTGGCCGGGGAACCCCTTGGGATTTACCCGGAGGAGCTGGCTCCGGCGGCTGGGGAGAGGGAAGTCAGGGCCTCTCGACGCTACTGGCCCCGCAACCCGACTCCGGATAAGTGGATGAAAATGGATGGATGGATGGACAAATAACAGATTTACACGTAAGTAGTTTAAATAGAGTGCTGTGAATGTATAAACTGAACGCCAAGGGAAATCACTAGTTAGATTTTTTTTTCCGTGAATAAAATACATATGTCAGGCAGGAGCGTCAGGATCTGTCTGAGATCTGTCTCGGTGAGACAGATAATAGCAATCCAAAGTGCTTTTATGTGTGATCTGACAATTGATCAACCATTGCTTAAAAATTAAATACAGCTTAGCCGATTAATTGCTGTGATCATAAAACACGTAAACGGCAGCACGCAGAAATCACGAGGCAACGTTTTACGTGACGTTTACTTGCTGCTATGAGTAATGAGACAGAAAAATCCACGCCTAAATAAGTTTAGGAAGCCCACTAAGAATCGTAATAAAAGCATTTAAAATAAATACCACACACAGTTGAGGAAACGTTGGTTTAAGTACCTGATATGAAGTGGTCGCTGCATAAGCGAAAACCTTTACTCTCGGGATCCCACAGTTTCATTTTAGCCCGGTCACTAGCGCGTTTTATTACAATGATCCAACGTTTGCGGCGCTCCGGATCTTGGGGAATTCTGTAGATGGCTCATTCCTTATGTCGTCCGTGTCTGTTCTGCATCCTGGGGCACAACAGGAATCTACCATATTTCCTGTCTGATTGAGTTTTCTGACAATAACAAATAGCCCAGCTGCCGGCTTCTGCCTCCCTAATGGCGCCGTTTCGATTTGAACTGTTGCATGCCGGGAAACGTGACGTCAACTCCCGGAGCTCTATAGGGCTTGGTAGATCAGAACGATGAATTGCTGGAATGCTGAAACAAAAGCCTACAGACAATCTGGGAGAGATCACTGAGGGTTTAAATATAGGAAAGAACAGGTGTGCTCCATGAAGTAATCAGGCAGAACTCAGGAGAACTAGATGATGCTGATTAGTGCAGGAAGGGCAACGGAAGTTACAGTGTAACTATGGTTCTGTGAGTTCCTGGATGACTGCCAGTGGCAGTAAACAGAGTGGATGTATCTCCTTGCGCTTTGCGCAGGTCGAGTACTAATGTAAACAAAGTCATGCACGTGACACGTAGCGCACCTGGTCGCGAGTCTATAAATTACGCGCCGATAGCTACGTTCGGGTCTCTTTGATCTTCTCGCTGTTGACTTGGCGTGCTTCGCGGGTCAATCGCTCCGTAAGTCCGTGATTCGGATCTTGATGGTCTAGAGGTGAGTACACTCATTACTTGGCGTCGGCTGCCCGAGACCGGGCGGCCGGAGCGCTCAGAGGAGCCCTCTGGGGTGGTGGATTGACGCGGTTATCTTCAATTATTACTGAGAGCGGGCGGTGCGGCCGGCGCCGTTCAAACCGCCGCTGCCGGCTCGGATAGGGCTCGCTGGCGGTCGCTATTTTCCCCTGTGTGAAAGGGGAGGGGGGAGCGGCCAGCGAGCGCTACAGGTAAGTGGGGCTGGACGTTCTGATCATGGAGGTCACGCTCAGATTACCCAGTCGACACACACACACATTGAGTGCTGTTTAACAACTCCAGGACTGAATAGCATTCTTCAGTTTTCCTTGAAGTCCTCGCTCAGTTCCTGTGTAGTCGCTGGCGTCTCCCACATCGGTAGGGATGTTGGTGTGTACGTCGTGTGGGGCTCCCCTCCAGGTGGAGGACGGCCTCGACTTGTGTCCAAAGTGCCTGGGCGTCGGTCACCTCAGAGAGGCGCTGACTGACCCATGTATGAACTGCAGCATTTTGCCGCTGGAGATGCGGGAGGACAGGCTACATCAAGTAGAGTGCCTCCTGTTTGAGTCAGACCTGCCGCCCTCTGGTATCCCTCATCCATGTTCCGGGAGACGGAGGGATGGACCGGCTGAGGAACGCGGCAGCCCGAGGCGCAAGAAGCGGCAGGTGGCGCACCCTTCTCGCCAGGAAGTGGACACTTTGCGGGCGGAGGTGGAACAGCTCAAAGCGCTGCTGACCAGAGCCCCGGACGAGGGGGGCTTGGACGACCTATGAGGGCCTCAAATTCCGAGTTTCAGTCCCTCGGGGAGGAGGGCCCCTCTCCGGGTCGTAGTCGAGGGCTGGTAGTGGAGCTCCCGGGCCTGGGAGGTCACGGGGACTCGGGGATGTCTCTCCATAGCTCAGCAAGCTCGGAGCTGGCGGAGGACCCCTGTCAGTTGCGGGCGATTTTGCGAGTGGCACTGGCCAGGATTGGACTGGACGACGTGCCGGTGGCAGACTCCGGCAGCTCCCCCGTTTCAGATCCCACCATCGCCGGCCTTTGTGGAGGAGCTGCAGCGGTGCTAGGGGGACCTGAAGCAGCTCTTCCACCACCGTAGGGTGCCAGGACCCTGGCATCGATGTGGGAGGCAGGAACCTACGGGTTGGACCACATGCCCCCGGTGGACCACTGCGTTGCTTCTTTGGTGCTCTCCCCGGATGAGGCATTGAGGGACAGGGTCCGCTGTCCGAGCACCCAGTGTCGGGTGACCGACAGCTTACTGTGCCGGGCTTACGACATCGGAGCAAGGATGGCGCACACCAGCAATTCGCTGTCGGTGTTGTTGCTAGCCCACTCGCCTCTCCAGTGGTCAACGGGCAGTCAGGCGGAGTACAGCCTGGACAGAGAGCCAGTCCATCGCAGGGCAACACAGAGACACACAGGACAAACAATCACACACACACTCACACCTAAGGACAATTTAGACAGACCAATCAACCTAACAGTCCTGTTTTTGGACTGTGGGAGGAAGCCGGAGGACCCGGAGAGAACCCACGCATGCACAGGGAGAACATGCAAACTCCATGCATAAAGATCCCAGGCCGGGAGGCAACAGCTCTAACCACTGCGTCACTGCGCAGCCCCTGCAGAACTTTTATTTTGAAATGTACCTTTGATTTTACACTGAAATCGTGTGTGGTTTCCTGTGTAGCCTTACGTTAACTTCAGTAATTGACGCATCCCAGAAGCATCATTCAGCAAAAACCTGGTCTTACCTTTAGCAGCGCAGCATGCCGCTTCTACGTCTGGAAATTGCTGCGTCGCTGCTGGTTTGAAACCCTCCATAGACTATAATAGATGCTATTCGAAGCAGTGACGTTTCACTGTTGTTCCGCGCCACTGATGCTTTCAGTGTGAAACCGGGAGATTACAGCCCTCTGAAGCTTTAGTGCAGATTTTTCATTGTGTCTCAAAATTCATTCACGTAACCATTTATTTTCGTGCGTTTCTGTTTTTTAAGGTCAAAAGTACTGGGTGATTCAGGAACTCAAGATAAGAGGTCGTGCTGGCAGCATCTATGAGTACGGTTTCCCCTCCAGTGTCAGGCAGGTTGATGCTGTGGTCCATGTGGCTGAATATGAGAAAACCATCTTCTTCGCAGGACAGTTTTATTACAGGTAATGTAGGAGTGTATGCTTTAACCTGTGTAGGCTTCTTTGGGTCAACGTCATTCTACTAAGGTGGTCACTCAGGGATGGAGATACAATTAAATAAAAGAGAAATGGGGGGGGGGGGGGGGTCGTCATCTTTACTTAGTTTGAACTTTATCAACAATTTACTGTGACAATATATTTGCCATGACAAAGCCACACATTTTAATTTTGCACCATTTAACCTCAGGTATGACGAGCAGAAGAGACAGATGGATTCTGGTTTTCCGAGACGGATCCAAACCGACTGGACTGGAATCCCAAGAAGAGTCGATGCTGCATTTAAAATGAATGGTAAAAAAAAAAAAAAAAAAAAAAAAAAAGATGAACAAATGGGAAACTAGTTTTTACATTCATGATTTTTGTGATTCTCAGCAGAAGAAAGGATTTAGAGCACAGTGATTTCTTGTTTTTAGATGGGTGACGTGGGTGCTTCAGCGCTTTGGGCTTCCTGACAGGGTTGCGGAAGGCACTTTATGAATAAAGCTTTGATTGATTGATTGATTGACGTTTAAATTCCACTGTAGCCTGATTTATAGCAACATGTCAGGTAAAAATAAAATCATGGTCTTTCTCTTCTTTTTCTGCAGGTGGACTGTTCCTCCTCAGTGGGTCCAGATCTTACCAATATGACTTCAGACAGAAAAGGGTGGTAAAAATAATAGCAGGAAACACTTGGCTGGGATGCTGATGCACTTAAAATCCATCTTTAAAAAGATGAAAATATAAAGTCATCTGTACATGGACCTGACACCCATGACCCATTACCTGACCCTTGCAGCTGTCCACAGGTGTGCTGGGTCACTCAGGAGCAAACTGCTTCAGCTCTCCCAGGATGGAGGGTTCCTGCTCTAGATTTTTAACGGGGCTAAGATCATGGTTCATAGAAGGCCACTTCTAAATAGCTTAACAATTGGTTCTGGGGCATTATTTTGGTGGTTTTATCTGTTTTGGGTCATTATCCAGATAGAGGACCCTAGACCTGGGACTCAGACCAAGCCTTCTGACAATGGGTTTGGCGTTTGGTTACAGAATGACTTACAAGTCTTGAGATTTAAGTGGACCCTGAACGGATTGAGGACACTCTGTACCGAGTGACGCTCCAGAAAAGGACTGAGCTTCCTCTGTATTTCCGTCTCTGTTTGTTTGCTGAATGTATCCATCTGTGAGCATAAAGACAATTCTGTGAAGGTGGTCATATTTCTGACTTTAGAACCAATAAAGCCAATTTGAAAGCAATAGTTTAAAGTGTTATAAACTCTTTAGTGTTGCTTTAATTTAGCCCAGAGAGGTTGCCTACAACCCTGTGGAGTTAAAAACCTATGAAAAATATGTAATTGTTTATGTTTGTGTTTAATAAACATAAACATGTCATTGTAGTCAGCTGAACTCCAAGCTGCTTGGAGATGGTCTTCTAACCGTCCGTTTGAACGTGCAGATCAAAGATAATCTTTCTAATTTCCCAAAACAATGCTTGCTTAAGTTTTCTGTGGTCCATAATTAGTGAGGTACACACCTTGATACCCAACAGCACGGTGACTACTTGACACCATTTAAACAGGCAGACTGACTGGTTACAGGATTGAAGAGGCCTGTGATGCTGAATATAGAACACACAGTAGTTTAACAGCTGCCTGGGGATTATATTTGTAATGACAGTTTAATGCTATTTTTAACTTTTGTCATTTCTGTATAAAACTCAAAATAAATATATGACAAATAAGGCCTATTTAACGGAACTGAAACATATATTTGTTTTAAGTACGGTTATGTTTTTTGTAACACAATTGTCTTATCTTTTCTCTGAAGATGTGTTTTTATAGACAATAAAAATAAATAAATCAAGATTCATAAATCAAAAATATTTTCCACCATGTTCTTTTCACAAACTCTTAGCCCACATTTCTTGCGGAACCTTGTGACAAATGCAGTTGATCTGCAAATAAAAATTCTTTATGATGAAGAAAATGAATTAGTTTAGTTCCAGAATAACAAAAATTCACCAAACTCAGCGTTTTGAGTGACGACAGGATTTTAGCCCCTTTCAGATCAGAATGTTTTGGCTTTAAAAGCTGACACATCTGGATTTATTCAGACGAAACAACTCAACTGTATTTAGACCAATACAAAACTCAACTGCTCATGACTAAAAATGATGGAGAAAATAATACAAATCTTCCATTAAACGTGATGAAATCAAAACACGACTGTAAAAATCAGTTTATTCTCATTTGCTAAAAAGCAGCTGTTATTTTTAACATGTCAGTTATTGTTTACTAGTTTGTTTTATTATTCATGTGTTTATTATTAATAATTATGTTTGTTATGCTGTAGAATCTGTAGGTGATGTGTTTGCTTATTTAACTGATGCAGAGTTTCACAAGTTTGTGTTAAAGGTTGCTTTTGGAGCACATCCTAAAGCTTCCCAGAGCTAAATATTTTGTAACAGCTTCTGTTGTTCTTGGTCGTGCCTGAATTATTATGTTATGAAATCCTTCCATTTGTTGCCTGAATCGCAAGTTTTAAAATAATGACCACAAAGCTTTTTCAGCCAGTCGAGGTGAGATGTCATGAAGAAATCGGCCTGAGTCACTGCTGTTTTTGGCGATCGTGGATAAATAACGTGATCATCAGACGTGATCTATTGCTACATTATGCTGGTTGGAGCACAAACAAAGAACAAGCTCATAAGATGAACAACAAACAAAACTCAATAGGGATTAAACAGTTATTTGGCAATAGATATTGACTTGTACATGTTATTATAATTGTTATTAATTACAGTTTTGCTGTGTTTTCTCAAACATCAACAGGCTGGAGTTTTGTTTTTTATCTACCAGATACTGTCAACATATTCACATTTATAACTGAACGACTCTCAGTTTATGGGAATGTGGATTATTAAAACACGTCAGGCAAAAATTTAATTCACTCAGCAGACCAAGAAATTCAAGACATAGCTGGATATGAGAGACAATGAGTAAAATAATGCCTGCAGTTAGTTTGACGGAAGCTATTCTTTTGTAGTTTTTTTGTCACAAACATTTTCATCAGAATTTTAAAGAAAATCAGATATTATTGCTTGTATCAGTAAAACAAGTAACTAATAGTTTCCTGTAACAATAAAATATAAAAAAAACAGGCTACTTTTGTGTTTGATTCTCCGCCCCCCCCCCCTCTCTCTCTCTCTCTGTGTGTGTGTGTGTGTGTGTGTGTGTGTGTGTGTGTGCGCGCGAGAGAGAGAGAAAGATAGATAGATAGATAGAGAGAGAGAGAGAGAGAGAGAGAGAGAGAGAGAGAGAGAGAGAGAGAGAGAAAGAGAGAGAGCAATCCTTTGTTCAATTCATGATTAACATCATTTCACCAGAGGGAAAAATTGATAACTTAGATGAACTTTTATCATATTTTTTCATATCAAAAAGTCATTTTTCAGCATTACAAAGTTATAATAATAAAGTAATAAAATTCTAAAAATTAAGAAGTATCTCCGAACTAAAGCTCAATAATTACTTTTTGTTGGTCATTGGATGCCATAATAGTTTAGTAGGTATTGTAATACATCACACTCAGTGCCACTGCCAAATAATGAACTGGTGTTACGTAGAAATGTGTTTCCCGTCCAAAATTGTGTCCCAGCATAGCCATCGGTCTGTGTGTTCCTCTTGTTAACACACACACACACACACACACACACACACACACACACACACACACACACACACACACACACACACACACACACACACACACACACACACACACACACACACACATTCTGATTTAGAACAACGAAACTTCCAGGAATTTTATAAAATAATGAGCCAGTTGTGTGTATTTCATGCGTGCTCTTATTTTCTTAATGAACACCGGAAGAACAGATTTTTACTAACAAATGTATTTTCCTGCGACAGTTTCTCAAAAAATGTGAATGTATTTATTTTGGTCTAGTAATTTTCTTAACATTGACATTACGTAAAAAAGAATTTAAGGTAAAAACAAAATTAAGTGAACAACAGTTTTCGATGGGTTAACATTTCTTGACTTCACACCGGATATCCTGTCAGCGGTGTTCATGAATAAGAAGTTCGGTAAAACCACAGCTTCACGTTTTTTCATTATTTTATAAGCATATAATTTTTAATCGTCTTTCTTTTTATATTATGGACTACTTTAGGGTACATTTGCAATCTAAACAATTTCGGACTCAACAGCAACTGCGAATAATTAACTAGTTTGTGTTAACGATTAACTGCACAGTATGTAAACATGAAGAAACGTTCCGCTTGAGACGGAAACAACAAGAAGCGAGACTAGAGACGAGCTGCACCAAAGCTGAGCTGCGGCGCTGCAGGTATTTGTTTTGAAACAAGATCCAGTGCTACTAGTTTGGTTTATTTTTTAGTAAATATACATTTTTACGCAAAAAGTGCTGATGTGAAGGTATGTGCAAACACATAAAATCATTTATATTTCCAAGCGTCTTCCCTAAAGCTGACGACATTTTTGTTTTTTTCTCTTAGCACACAGGCTGACCCTCTCCGTCCTCCATGGAGTCACTCAACGCATTTGAATCCGAGATGGAGCCTGACGGCCAAGGAAATTATTCCCTGTTTCCTGCCTTGGACAGCATAGCAAGTCTTTCTGGGACAGCTGAGACTCTGGAGAGGTTCAAATTTATGTTTTATTCACCATAGATTCCCCATTTTGTTGTTTTCTTATTATTATTGTTATCTCTTTGTTTAAATGCAAACAAAAATATATATTTTAGGTTATTATTGGTGAGTAAAACAGGCCTGACAGCACTTAATATTCTGGCTGGGGTGTAGTTTTGTGTTTGAAGGCGAATCACTGGTTTCAACCCGTTTACATTGCACTTCATCCAAGATTATTATTGTTATTTTTTGGGCTATATTTTGCCACCTGCATGTCCAGAGCACATTAAAATCCCAAATTTTACAAAATCAACAAGACAGTCCATATTTCTTCAGTCTCATGTCTACATTTGAACTAAATTGTCATTTGCTTGTTCATTTGGGGGGGTGCCCACTTCGCAGTGAACCACCCAGTGAGATTGCAGAGAAACCAAACCTCACATGGCTTGACGCTGCTCAGGTATCAACAACATTTTCATCTAAATTCAGTCTATTTGTGTGTGAGTGCACCATCTGCTGCTACATCGAGTGTTTTTGCTCTCCCTCGCTGGTGTAGATCATTTTGGAGGAAGCTGGGCGTCCCATGCACATAAAGGAGATTAAACAGAGAATCATCGACAAGGGACTTGTTCAGTCAAAGTACACCAGTCCCCCTCATCAGACAGTTGTTTATGTTTATTTACTGTGTTGGCAGGTTGATGTACTTTCAGCATACAGGTGCTGGCCAGTAAATTAGAATATCATCAAAAGGTTGAAAATATTTCAGTAATTCCATTCAAAACGTGAAACTTGTACATTATATTCATGCAATGCACACAGACCAATGTATTTCCAATGTTCATTACATTTAAATTTGATATTTATAGGTGACAACCAATGAAAACATCAAATCTGGTATCTCAGAAAATTAGAATATTCTAAAGGCCAATGAAAAAATGTTTGTTTCTCTAATGTTGGCCAACTGAAAAGAATTAACATGAAAAGAATGTGCATGTATAGCACTCAATACTTAGTCGGGGCTCCTTTTGCCTCAATAACTGCAGTAATGCGGCGTGGCATGGACTCGATCAGTCTGTGGCACTGCTCAGGTGTTATGAGAGCCCAGGTTGCTCTGATAGTCGTCTTCAGCTCCTCTGCATTGTTGGGTCTAGCGTATTGCATCCTCCGCTTCACAATACCCCATAGATTTTCTATGGGGTTAAGGTCAGGCGAGTTTGCGGGCCAATCAAGGACAGGGATACCATGGTCCTTGAACCAGGTGCTGGTGGTTTTGGCACTGTGTGCAGGTGCCAAGTCCTGTTGAAAGGTGAAGTCTGCATCCCCATAAAGTTGGTCAGCAGCAGGAAGCATGAAGTGCTCTAAAACTTCCTGGTAGACGGCTGCATTGACCCTGGACCTCAGGAAACAGAGTGAGCCAACACCGGCAGATGACATGGCACCCCACACCATCACTGACGGTGGAAACTTTACACTGGACCTCATGCAACGTGGATTCTGTGCTTCTCCGCTCTTCCTCCAGACTCTGGGTCCTTGATTTCCAAAGGAAATGCAGAACTTGCTTTCATCAGAAAACATAACTTTGGACCACTCAGCATCAGTCCAGTCCTTTTTGTCCTTGGCCCAGGCGAGACGCTTCTTGCGCTGTTTCTTGTTCAAGAGTGGCTTGACACACGGAATGCGACACCTGAATCCCATGTCTTTCATGAGTCTCCTCGTGGTGGTTCTTGAAGCGCTGACTCCAGCTGCAGTCCACTCTTTGTGGATCTCCCCCACATTTTTGAATGGGTTTGTCGTCACAATTCTCTGCAGGGTGCGGTTATCCCTAGAGCTTGTACACTTTTTTCTACCACATTTTTTCCGTCCCTTCGCCTGTCTGTTAATGTGCTTGGACACAGAGCTCTGCGAACAGCCAGCTTCTTTAGCAATCACCTTTTGTGTCTTGCCCTCCTTGTGCAAGGTGTCAATGATTGTCTTTTGGACAGCTGTTAAGTCAGAAGTCTTCCCCATGATTGTGGTGCCTTCAAAACAAGACTGAGGGACCTTTTAAAGGCCTTTGCAGGTGTTTTGAGTAAATCAGCTGATTAGAGTGGCAGCAGGTGTCTTCTATATTCAGCCTTTTCAGAATATTCTAATTTTTTGAGATACCAAATTTGGAGTTTTCATTAGTTGTCACTTATGAATATCAAATTTAAATGTAATGAACATTGGAAATACATTGGTCTGTGTGCATTGCATGAATATAATGTACAAGTTTCACGTTTTGAATGGAATTACTGAAATATTTTCAACCTTTTGATGATATTCTAATTTACTGGCCAGCACCTGTACATTGTTGTTAATCTACATATGACCGTTCGTTTTGATCTTTTTTATGTGACAGTGCAAAATCCAGCCTGGAAGCCGTCATGTACCGAGAGGTAAGGGCTGTGTTAGAGACTCATGCTGCTACTGAGTGTGATAGATCATTCATGTATTAGTGTCTTTTAGTTTTTCCATGTTTGTTCCATCCTGCCTTGTTGTCCTTATCTTAAAATCTAACAAAGACACAGAAAGGTGTGATTGGATCAGACGAGTGCTGTTTGCTCAGGGGCAAAATCTTTAACGCTGTTATAATCAACAAACTTTTCCTAAATTGACCTTTTGGGAGGAGAAAGCGCAGCTTTTGCAGCTCCTTGCATTCGGCCTCAGTTTCACATTATGTTTCAGACACAAAAAGGCAGCAGGCGTTTCAAGAGGATTGAAAACAGAAACGGAGTCTTTGCATTACTGGTGAGTTTTCTGGGACTCTGACCCTTTCAAACTAAATTAAATGATGTGACAAATTCAATTGATTTTCCCCACTGTTAGCTCCTGAGGTCTTGTTATTCACACATGATTTGTGATGAACAAGTCCTAAATCTAAACGAACTAAGTGAAAATTGATGCCGTATATAAATAATAATAAATTGTTTAACTGATAACTGGTGCTGTTTTACTGGTTCAGTGCCATCTGGCTAACATGATGTCCGAAATGGTCCCAGATCCTTCAGAGAGGAATAAAAAAAGAACAAAGTGCTTCAAGAATTATTCATTGTATTGTTTCATCAGCTTGTGCAGCATTTCATGAACAAACATTCACTTTTTGTCTTCATTTCTCCCTTCTGAGAGCGACACACCAACTACCGTGATTTACTCTTAACACGTCGCTGTTTTTGCCTCCTCGCAGTCCGATGAGGAGCGGCAGCAGGCCCTGCAGGCCTTCACCGCCCAGGTGTTCATCGGTGCACAGCCGCCGAGCACCGCCTCCAGCTCTGGTGCCTCGATGCCCGCCTTCCCATCCCCTACCAGTTCTTCTGAGCAGAAAGCAAAGTTTAAGAAAGGGCCGCGGAAAAACCAGAATGAGAAGTACAGGCTCAAGTACTTGAGACTGCGAAAAGCTGCTCGCACCATGATATTTGTAAGCACTATTTTACTACTGTTGGCTCTGGCAAATGGGTAATCAGGGATAGAAACATATAGAAAAAATATATAAGCCTTAGATAGTACGTGTAAGCAATATTTAGTAACACAAATACTCTATAGATTTGTGTGTATAAAAATGTGACTCCTGTCTTTACCCACACTGTGTTGGCTTTAGGAGAATGCAGCCCTCTGCGATGAAGTTGCTCACATAGAAGAGAAGTTTCTGAGAGCAAAGGAGGAGCGCAGGTGTTGGATGTTTTTCAAGGCCTCAAGATCAGGGTCAAAGGTCATGTTCTGGCTGTTTCTCATTTCTCAAAGCCAAATATTAATCATGTTTTTCATCTTTCTCTCAGGTTTTTATTGAAGACGTTGTTGCAGTACCAGTGCCTGTCAGAGGGAGAGGCTCTGCCGACACCCAGTTCCAGCTCCCTCCCTCCTGCGCCACCTGTGACGTTAACTTCAGGTCCCGCAGGGACTTCAGGCCTGTCTGTGACCCATAACCTGTTGGCGTCAACGGGAGATGAAGGACTGAGTAAAAAACCCAAGAAGGAAAGGAAAGAACGAGGGAGGGATAATGGGAAGGAAGAATGTACGTATGAAGGTTAACGAGAGGGATTGGTGATGCATGCATAGAGGAAATTATTATAAATTGGTGCTTCTAGTTCCAAAAAAGATGTCTAAGAAGAGGAAGCTGGCGGATGGGTCACGGAAGCTGGTGCAACCCATCCCCCTGGACTCGTCTGGTCGTCCCGTGTTCCCCATCGTACTGGGAGGGTTAACGGTCTACAGTCTAGGAGAGGTCAGCACAGACCTCTACAGTCAACCTTAGAAATGGAATCTTCTAGTTAAATCTGGAAGTATTAAACACAAATCAAAATTTTTACCAAAGTTTCATGAATTCTAGCCAGATTGTAACTCGACAGCAAGCATTTTATGTTTTTTTTTTACAACTAACATCTCACCTGACTTCTCTACAGATCATCACAGACAGAATGCTGTTCCACGATGAATGTGCCATCTATCCTGTGGGTTTCTGCAGCACGCGTGTCTTTGCAAGCATGAAAAGCCCCGAACAGCAGTGCCTGTACACCTGCCAGATCAAAGATGGGGGTGCAGGTCCACAGGTATACACACACACACACACACACACACACACACACATACACACAGACAGCTATTGGCAGTTATGCAAGCAAATTTGTTTTGTAAAAATCAACATTTGAGATTTTACAGAAGCTCAGTTTTTGCTGTACAGGTTTCTTTGGAAGCACTCGCCTATGTCTGTGTTTCTAGTTTGAGATTGTGCCTGAAGATGACCCTCAGAACGCCATCGTGGCCTCCTCTGCTCTGATGTGCCATTCTAATTTGCTGAAGGCCATTGCATCTAACAGGTAACCTCATGTATGAAGCGTACTTACATTGTCACGACCTGGCTCGCAGCCATGACAGAAACAAGGAGTGGGACGCCATGACTGAAAGCGGTTAAATTAATTTATTAAATGATATGAAACAAAAGCTCTTGCACCAAACAAATAACAACACCAATGCACACGTGGGGAAAAGAAGCGCTGTCCCTCAGAACTGCAGGTGAAGCGGAGTTCCTAAAGACCAAGTACACTGAGAAACTATGACCTCACTCTGAGTGTGACATGCAGGATGAAATTGGAAATGATCACCTGCATTAGCCACTGATAGAAAATGGACGCTCGGGTCAGAACAAGAGTTCTGTTTGAGAATGCGTCTTACTTGAGTTTGGGCATGGCCTGAAAAAGGCATCAAGAGTCACGGTGAAGCAAAGAGACAACAGGGTGACGCTCGCTCATCACTTGCAGGTTAGACAATGCTTTAAAGGTATTGGCCAGACTCAGCATTAAAATTGTAGAAATTCAGTATAACTACACTTTAACATCTATATAAACATGTGCTGGGTTCAGTTTTTTTATTTTGTTAAGGACTTTTGTCATAAATCATTACAGAAAATCCAAATCCTCTCCTCCAGACAGTGAAGAACTGTGTTCTGCCTACGTCGCTCCAGCACGTAAAACAAGGCCGCTGCTGATGCTAGTATTGTGAATAACTGTATTTTGTTTACTTTCGTACTCTTATTACGTAAAATTGTGTTTACAGCTGCAGCAAAAGGTCTGAGCCATGTGTCCGTGTCCTACACGCATTTTTAAATAACAGGTCTGATCTAAAATAATAACCTACATCTATAAATCCATCTAGAACCGCACCGGTACTAGGGATGAGCCGGATACTCGTTTCAGACGAGTATCCGGTACGGATAAAGCATTTTTGACGAGTACGAGCATGAAACGAGTAAAACTGGTAAATATCTGTAATCGTGCTGAAGGAAAATCCTCATTGGGTAACTGACTGTCTTCACGCTCTGTGATTGGCCAGTCAGATAGAGCGCCCGCCCCTCCCTACACTCAAAACTGCAGCGGGAGCTCTGCTCAGTCCGCGTCCGGTCCATCCACGCACACACACAGACAGTAACGGATCTCTCTGTGCTTGCTTCACTGTTCACGTTTCTTCAGTACTCCCTATGTTTTCTTCAGTTTGCTTCTTTTGAAAGTTATTTAAAGTTACTTTTTCCGTAACGTACAGTATGTGGTGCATTTGACAAGACAGAGCTGAAAATGGCTCGTGCTGCGTCAGTCACTGCCTCCGCTCCGGTCGGGTTTTTTTTTCTCTCTCTCCTCTTCCTCAGGATCCACTCCCTCTTTCCTATTCACTCTCTCTCTCTCTTTACATTTTTTAATCACAATTGTCTATTTTTTGCTCATTTTAAATATATTTTAATCATTTTCCAAATTCTTTTTTCTATTATGCATGATTTGTTTTTGTGAAGCGCCCCGTGATTTTTATCTTGAGAGGCGCCACAGAAAAGATATTTTCTTCTCTCTCTCTCTTAATTCATGCAGTTAAATATTAATGTTCTGATTTTATTGAAAAACTTGTTCTGTAATAGTTCCCTTACTATTGTGATCAAAAACATTTAATCTCAACTCTGAGGCTGCTCTGTAAATAGTTTTCAAATAAACAATACACATAGCAACTTCTGATCAGACATACCGCAAATCCTCTAATATTAGCCTGTATTTAATTAACTGCCGGGAATCATATTTTGGCCAGTGTCAGAGTCGGCGGAGGTGAATAATGGCCGTTTTTTTATTGTGGCCGGGTGGAATGTGTTAACAAGCAAGTACGGGGGGCGGTTGTGTCATCCTTCTCACTTTTGATTTGCCAGTGATAGACAGCGAGGGTAACTTTAACCGTGTGGAGACGAAGAGGAGGCGAAAATTTGATATCAAGTTCAAAGAGAACTTGCTGATTATGCTGCAGAACACTCTGGGGAGTAGCAGGGGTTGTATGAACTAGTCACTAGTCGACTTCACTGCTCTATAGTGACTTTTTTTGCCTGTCATCGACTAGTCGCTGTCACATGATAATGACCGGCAAGATGCAGTCCACGGAAAAGACAGCAGCCTGCTGTCAGCAGGTGACAAGCTCCTGCGCGTCGGGAGGCAACTCGCTGTGCCAGAGCGTCTGTACCGACACCCGCCGTAAAATGGACATTTAACCAAATTGTGACGTTTGCCCTCTTGCAATTTAACCTTCCCCTCACCGCCATCCTAACCTTAACCAGCTTGTGCATGCAAAGCTCTGATTGTTGACGCGCTCCAGACATCTGCGTCCTGAGCACGGCCACAGTAACATTATCAAATCAGGTGTCGCCACCTCAAAAACTAATTTAACACGCGATTGTTCATGTTGGCTCATTTCCTTTTATGTTATCTGTCTTTTATTCTTTTATTTGTGCCTGATGCCTTTCGCTGCTGCGGATCGGGGGCATCACCTGTTTTGTCCTCGGTGACGCACCTAACTTATGAGGCCGGCGAGCACTCCGCTGTTTTTGCGGTCGGTAGATCTTTTAGAACTGCAGTTCAAAGGTAACTCATAAGGTGAATATATATGAACCCAGGTAGCAGTTTCTCTTTAGGATTGAGAGGAGATGCAGGAAGATAATAAACAGGCAGGACAGAAAAATAGTCAAATAAAAACAAGTTAGTTTTTGTACCTGGTGGTTGCAACAAACAGACACCATTGAAGGTAATCAGAAGTGAGGAACAGAAAATGAAATAATTATTTTAATGTTTAGAGCAGCAGGAACTCCGAGAGGCTGCAGGCGCATCAGTGAGTTTGCGGCCGCTGCGCAGGGGGAGGGGGGAGAGGGCTGAAGCAGAAACTACCGTTGTTAAAAGAAATGTGTTTAACTTAGAAAATGTGGGCGCAATTGTAATTGTCAAAAACTCCAGCGAACCATTAGTTCATTTTGCTCAAATAGAAATAGAGGCCTGCCTCTAATTCTGGCCCTCCTTCCAATAAAGGCCTGGAGCTTGATGAGCTTGAGTCAAATACAGGCCCGGGCCTGTATTAGAGGATTTACGGTAGTATAACGTATTGGTGTAAACCACACCCACTTCCGGTTAAGCTACACCCACTTCCGGATTAGGCCAGGCCCACTCCGAGTACAGATACAGATAGTGGTGTACTCGCTCATCCCTAACGGTACTTCTGGACTCCCGAGTCCTGTTAGCATGACTGCAGGAATACTGTCTTAGCTCCGATAAGGAATAAAACAAGTCATTTGGGAAAGCTACGACACACACAGATATAATCTAAAAGATGATCCCTATATCAACAATAGATCCTCCATGGACCAGTAGAACTTCCGTGACATCCTGGATTAGTGCAAACAAGTCAAACTAAGGAGTTACTCCAGCATCAGGAAGATTTACTCTTGTGAGCTATTAGTTAAATATGTTCCAGAGTTATATCAACATATACACGGAGCTGTAAAACTGTAGATTAATGAACTATATTGGGACACATGACGGAGCTAAGACCAGCTGAGAACTCGTCAGCTTAGAGCTCCCAGTGGAGCACAGAAATTAAATATTTAACAAAAGTAAACAAACTGTACCGACTTTGGTTCTGAAGATGAACAGAATCCTCCTCTATATCCAAATCGGGTCGCAGGTCTTCTGAGTCAAACGGTCTAAAACATGTCTGCACCTCCGGTAGTGATATCCAGCTGGCGGGGTCGGAGTTCGGTTGAACTTCTCCGGTAATCCAGTATCTGTTCTCGTCACCGTATCCCAGAGAAAAACCTAATCTGACCGACTAGCAGAGGCTTCAGAAGCTACATCTGACTGATGACACATTGTTCTCTGCTATAACGCTAACGCAGAAACACTGGAGTCAGGCGTTGTTTACCATCGCTGTTTCAGCAGAGCTCCTTGTGAAACGTCACCAGCTGCCCAGGGCTTAGACCCGAAGTTAGTTTCTGTTTTTCCTGCGCCGGTCACAAACATCAGATTTTCTTAAAATTCCAGCCGTGAAAATCCAAAAACCTTTTTCATCCGAGGTTTTAATACTTCTTTTTTTTTTTTTTTTTTTTTTTTTTTTTTTTAACGTGTCCTGTCTGGCTGTGAAGCAAGCAGAATTGATGTCTGAATGCTGGTAACAAGCCTTACAGTTTTACTCTCAGGTGGAGCATCAAAGAGTCTGCTTTTAATGTCGCACCTGATATTTAAAACTTTATTGTTATTGTTTTTGAATGCTTTGTAATTTCGACCAGACACGGAGACAGAGGTGAAAGAGAAAGGAAAAGAGAAAAGGTGGGGAGAGAGGGGGTTAGGTGGGGGGGGGGATTCAACAAAAATAAACAATAATGAACAAGAGTCTGCTTCTAGACCTGCAAAATGAGACGAGAAAAAAGCAAAACATAACAAAAAAATGGGACACAACACCAATATAACAAAATCAAGCTATCACTGCGTCAACTTGATGAAGAAATATATAATCAATCATTGTTTAACTAAACAGTCACACGATAATATACCACAGTGCATTGAGTGCCCACCATAGTCTTAAGACATGTGTTGAACGTGCCCAAGCCCATACTTATGAGAGCACCATGTGAGCACCTGTGTGTGTACATGCGCTTGTTTATGTAAGGTTTCTCTATAGGAGCGTCCAATAGAGAGTGTGAGGGACCACAGATCTGCCCCCCAAAGACGCGCAGGAGACGGGGGGGAGCTCCAAGTCCCAGAGATCCAGGCGCTGCCCCAGAACACAGGAACCCCAAGGAGCCCGCAACCAGAAAGGCCCCCGCCCCCCTCGAGAGGCACAGAGGATCGCCCCGGGGGGCCACAACCAGCAGCCGGCAGAGGTTTTAATACTTCATTACACATGCCGTTCAAAGGAAATTTGCCTCTGGCCGATATCTTTAAATAATAAAACCTGTACTGGAAAAGGGTCTGCTACAGGTGCAGGTGAGCCTTTTACAAATTAACGAGTTGATGAATAGAACGTTTATTGCTCGTTACCAATTGTTGCTCAATAACACCACAAAGCACTTGTGCTCAGGGCTCAGATGGAAACACCCTGAACCTGGGCTTTATATCAGGTGTGCAACATAATAGATACATTTTCTCTGTAACTTATGGCATTCAACGCAGCTGGTCTCAGGAGGTCACAAAATCACAGGAAAATTGCAAGATCACGTGTGGTTTCTTCAGCTCAGGTCATATCAAGCAAAGAGAAAGACCGCAACATGTATACAAAAGATGTTTTTTATTGGTATGTTTACCTCTGCACAGAGATACAACAGGTAATGACAAATTTTATATAGTGAGGGTTTGTTTTGTAGGCGAGTAATTGTGAGCTGTATCGTACCTGACCTCACAGCGGCAGGATAGCTGACGTAGTGGTGTACCGTTTTAGCTGATTAGTTTTAACCTGAAGGGGCCGCTTCACTGACAGTTTTAGGCTGAATTATTAAACTTTAAATAAGTTGCACTAAGATACCAAAACAGTGACCACACATGTGTGCAGCAGACACTCATTTATAAAGTTGTTTGAGCTGACTTGCTCTTTAAGCAATGGGAATTGGCTTTTATTTTGAAAGTTCCATATATTTTACAGTGCTCCTTTATTTAATTTCCTGTCTGATCCAATCTGAATTGCTGAGCTTGACATGTTCTGGAAGTCTAGTGCGTAAAGAAGGATCCAGGACGTAAGTTTAGCGTAGCGCCGCGTCCCTACGCTCCTGGGACACGTCTGATACAGCCCTGGAGACCCATTGAATATAATGAGGGCTATTAGCTGCTGCCGCCAGTCAACACCCCCCCCCCCCATGCAGTATTAGCATAATTTGTTGCCTCTTGCACGTTCTAAAGCCCTCTTTTATTCTTCTCAAACATCATCCTCTTAGTTCCAAGGCTGTAGCACCAATCGTGCCATCAGGAGCGGATTTCTTCGGCTTTTCTCATCCAACCATCCAGAATCTCATTCAGAGTTGTCCCGGAGCTCGCAAATGTAGCAAGTAAGTCCACTTTCCTCCCTGGTTATGTAAACCTGTTAGCCGTAACCTTCAGAAGTTCTCGGGTTGTTTAGTAAATGAATTTGTTTTCTACCAGAACATGAACAGCATTGTATCACTCTGCATTCGTATTTCCATTGACATGTCCTGCATTTTACTTGGTTCCTGTAGCTACGGATGGATTCGTTTTGAGGTGTGTCGTCCTGGCAACGGTCAGCTCCCCCACAGCTTATCAGAGGATGACGCCTCGGTCAACTTTGAAGCCTATCAGAGACACCAGGGGCTCGATGGGAGCATCAAGACGGAGCACGTCCCCGGTGTGTTGCAGCTTGTTTCAGCTGCTGCTGTGATGTAGATGCTCAACTTTTTATATGCAGAGAGAAGTGAGACTTAAGTTCATGAGCCTTAAGCCTGGTTTATGCTTCTCGGTCAGCTCCGCAAGGGACAGACACGCACGGATTGACGGAAGCGTTTTGCTCTCGTACTTCTCCGTCTCCTGGAGAGTGTTGCAAAGCAATTGCCCGCCAGGACAACAGAGGGCGTAGCGCTGTTCTGTGGTATCCTGTCATGTATCGGTCCAAGATCTTTTGTTTATATTGTGTTTTTTGTGTACATAAGAGACTTTTAACACGGACATATTTGTCTCTCATTCTCCCACCGCTTCATGCGCTCCCCACCTCTAAAGTACGTTTATTGTCATTTCCGTCCACAAATAAAACGCTTGCTGCGCATCTTTTCACTCCTCCAGTCACGGGAGAATTAAACATTCATATTTTTAGAGTTTTTTCACGAGGTATTCTTCAAGCTTCTCCGTGTCTGCCGCCTGTTAAACTCGGCTCTCTTTGCAATGGCGGCGCTGTAAACAACAGCGGCGTCCTGACCAATCACACGCTTGCGTAATCCGTTTCGTTCGACGAAAAAAAGTGGGCTCGACTCCGTACGTACTTGCGTGCCTGCCGGATCCCTATGCAAGGACGGATAATGGCGTTGTGTATCTCCGCACTGACGCAGACGGAGAAGCATAAATCAGGCTTTAGCCAGTGTGGGTTTTTCTTTTGTGCCCTCACAAAAACTTTACTAACAAAAATCACGCCAACAATTAGCCAACTAAATTACTTTTTTTTCTAACAATTTTGCATAATTGGATTTAACACAATTTTGAGGACCAAGCCCAATCTTTTCAGTTGCATGCTGGGACACTTATGACAAATCTGCATATGTATGTTTTCCAGGTCAGACACCATCTTCTCCTGGTTCCTCCCATCAGCACCACCTGACCTTACCCATCATGAAGCCCGCTGTGTCTTATTTTGGCTCCTAAAGAAACCTGTCTGAGGCACTTGTTTATGTTTAGGCAACTAAAATTTACATCAGCATTACTGGCCGTGTTCATGTTACTTTAGGTTTCTTTGAGAATTATTCTGCATGTGTCAGTAACTTATTTTTTATGTGTTTAGCTCTGCTGCTCGCCTCATTTCTTCTTGACCATATTTGGGACATTTCATATTTTTGCTGCATGTGCAGCAAATGCACTGTTAAAATGTATATTTTGATTAAGTTACTATAAAATTAAATGTAGTCCTCACTAATCCGATTTCTTTTAAAAGTACATGCGTGGAAAGTTGTACATTTAAATGGTGATGTTTACCTGAATCTACTGTGTACAGAATACACACAGTGTGTAAACACACACACCGTGTGTTATGTCAGACAGGCAGCAGCCGAACGACGAGATTACTAAGAATTAGTGAAACTGTAGCAAAAGGTCGGTCTAGCCATGCTCCTTTTTATCCCCAGCAGGTCTACCATTATCTTGAATAGTTTTAGGTCCAGCCAATCACAGCGCTCTATGTCTGCAGCAAGATGTTGGGTAGGCTTAGCACCAGAGCCGCGACAGAGAAAACCTACAAACTTGATGTCGGCTGAGGAATCACATTTGTTTGAAATGGCTTTAGCATCAACTTTGGACAATTTAGACTTGGTCTTTGAGACATGAGCAGATAGAGGTTCTCAAGTAATTAATAAAAAAAAAGATGCATTTGCTAATTCTTTGATGGTGTATG